ATTGAATCAAATTATCCATTACACATTTGAAACATTGAGACCAATCGACAATTCCATAACGTGAGAAGCAATCAAAGTGGGGAAAAGCAGTAGCTTTATTGTCTAAACAGATTGTGTTTACAGCCCATCAAACTATGTACAAGAAAAGTACCAGGCAGTAAACAATCACATGGGTAAAATCAGCTTTTCCCAGAAGCCACCTTCCGATCCACGGTGGGATTGCCCACAACAGTGCCTTTGGTTCGAATTGGAGGAGGTTTGGTTGGATCATACGCATAGGTACGGGGAATAGCCGCTCGACCAGCTTTTTGCCATGACTTGGCATCCAATCGTTCACGTGATTCCAGCTCCGCTAGAAGTTTTGAATTCGTCATCGCTGAAATTAATATGGACGATAGGAAATTACATGACGGGATTAAAATAGTTGGAAAGCAAGAGCAACTGTCCACATATGAGAGGATACTCACTTTCACGAAAACCCTCAACGAATCCGCGCTTCTTTACCAAGGTTGGTGGTGGCTTATTCACTTCAGGTAGCTTAAACCACGCTCGGACAGCCGGTACACGAAGAAGCATCGCTTGAGACACGGAAATCAGGTTACTCACAGTCCAGTACCAGAGAAGAGCCTAAGTTATATCAAAAAAACAGGAAATATCATCTGATAAAATTCGTAACGAGAATCCGCGTAAGGATGATTCAGTTGTAAAGCCCTATGAATGCAGACAATGTGCCAATCCAACCTCTTGCTTGTCCTCGAGCATGACATGACTTAGAGTTACTTAATTTTCTGGTCATGTACCCGGATTGAGAAATGCACATAGGACTTAAATCCCCAAAACAGAAACAAAAAACAAATTTGATCATGCCCCACAAAGCGAGCCAGATTTAATCGATGTTTCTCGGCCTTTTAATGTGATTTCAGTTCCAAACATTTGAGTGACGCGAAAGTACAAAGCAGTCAGCTTATGAGTAAGACCTGTTACCTCCAACACATGTTGCAATGACCTCACCAATTCTTCCATCGATTTGTGAACATAAGAAGCACCTTATATCACGGTTGGGTCAAAACACAGCCTAATTCACTCACGCTAAGAAACATTCCACCTTTCGCGATGATCACAAAATATTTCGCTCATCAATCATGGGAAAAAATGTGACCGAGTAGAATAATATTGCCAGTAAAATTACCTGCAACGGAGCTGCATTAGTAGAGCGGAAAGATCAAGGTTAAATTTATGACATCATGATGGATGACTGGGATTTCGGAAGTTGTTAAGGTGAAGCATACAGTTCACTGCCCAGTGAGTTTGAGGATCTTGACTGCTAGATAAGCACTACTCCTTCATTCTCTAACCCAGTAACCGGCGGAAATTCGGATAACTTGGTAGCCGCACGCGTGATGCGTGATGTAGTCGACAGTAGCAAACAGATTTATTTGGGCTGAGTGCACGGCTTTTGAAGGCTATGGTTTCATCGGAGGGGGCACTATCTGACAAAAAAGGAGCCAAATATTGGTATAGTGCAACTTTGTGGTCTTGAAAGGCTTCGCACGCGTTAAAGCATACACTACTGTACGGGGCACTAGCTCAAGTTTTGTTCAGCAACAGTAGCTCTCCAATACTTCAGAACGAACAATAAGTTTCAGTTTGTTAGTACGAAGCAGAATGATTTTCAACTCACAGATGGCATATTCATAACCATGAAAAATCCGATGCATGGGAACACACGCATGATTGTGCGCACAGTGGGAGTCATTGCTTGCGTGGACATGTCAGCTCCAGTCTAATGAGGGGGGAGGACAGAAAATATCAAAAAGTCACCTATCAGCAATAGAACCCCCATGAGTGTGTTGTAAAACAAGGATCCGACCTACAAACATATCAAGGAAAGACTGTAAATCGTTTAACCACAGATATCAGGGTGGCTTAGAATCGAAAAGCTGAGAAAGCTATGCTCGCGTGACGGAAAACATGAATAGATTTAAATGAACTACACACGGCAATTCAGTGGCACGTGTATGCATGAAGAAAGAAATGTTGGGTAAAGAGTATGCCAATTTAATAGTTTCATGTACAGCTGAAAGTAGTGCCCATTAATTTGACATGAGGGAGCCCCCTTGGGACAAGAGCGAATACACACTCACACCGGGAGTAAGTTAGTTAAAAAATGTCTTTTTACTTATTTTTATTTATTAAATATACAAATGTACAGTCAACATTCAGGAAGGGGGCCGTAGCCAAACGAAGGCTGCTTGGAAAAGTACAGAGACGAAGAAGACAGGCGGTGGAGCGGTTCGAACCCATGACTTCCGGATCACAACCTGGCGACCTAAACACTTGGCCACCACTGCCAAGTTCCCCGAAAGTAAAACACCAGTAACCGTACACTATGAATATATATATATATATATATGCGTGTGTATCAAACAAATCACGGTACAATAATCCCTATGGAAAAAGAAACGTTCCATAACTTGCCAGCAGTTGCGATACTGCTTATTTCAATTAATTTTACTAGTTAAACTGAGAAACATGCTGTGAGTGGCAGACACACGTAGCATCTCGTATAACTTGACGGTCACAGAAACAACTCGATAGATGAGAGAGAGGGTTTCCAAAAAGGGTGCCTTCAAGGCAGGGTCATGGAAGCACGCAATACATCACACCACATCAAGGTGCAGTCTTGTTGTTGCCTTATTACACACATTGAAAATGTTCATACATTGCATTATTTATCCTACCAGCTACGTAAGCGGTTTGGGTTAAATTAAATGATGTAACCTGAACTTCCTTAAATTATTCTGTATTTTACCTGTGTAGTGTTCTCAGATCATTTCGAAAAAATTTTTCAAATGTTGTCATAAGCAATGTCCGTAATTCTATCGTGTTAAATTGGTTAGTCCTTGTGAGACTCATATCAAATCTTGCATTACACCAACCGACTCGTCTTCTGTGTGGTTGTTATAGTTCTAAAAGGTGGTACACAGTGGAGGACAATTGTTGTTGAGGATTACAGATGGGATGTCACTAAATGGGCACACAACACAGAAATCTCATCAGAAACATACCATCGCAGTTCCTGGCAGCACAACGGGTAGTAGTAATTGTAGTAATTGATAGTTATTCTTTGAACCCCAGAAATTTGCTCTTGGTGAACTTGTTAACTTTTGATGGTCCAAATAAAGCACCAGACGTGCTACCTACTACTCACAAATGTGAGTAGCACCTCACGACACGGTGAATGTTCGAAGTGTCAATGAACAAATCCACTCGAGCTGGTTACATTCTTTTATCTGCACAAAATTTCCATAGAGCTCTGGCTAATATGAATTCTGAGCGACCAGGAGAGAACTTTAGACTAGCTCTGATATTTAAGGCATTCACTCTGACACTTCAGACTTTGCATTTCAGCTGCTTATAATAATTTGCGAGGAAATCAAAATGAAACTGAGACAGAAAGGTTCTGACTACTTGAATATTGGTTCAAGTGCATCTTGGCACTTCCTAATGCAAGTTCGGTCGTGATTTAAAGGAAAACGGTGAGGAATAAAGGTTAGCATCAACAAAAAATATTCGAGAAAGGTGCCGGAAAGAAGCAAGCCAACTAAATGTTTCCTCACCTCGAACATAAGTAGAATGGATCCCATACTGATCAGTGGTAATGCGTAAAACGGATCAGGAACAGTGAGATCAGTAAACCAGGCCAAACCACCTTCTCGCATACTGGGAACAGGCACCGAGGTCATTCCACGAATTCCCGCGAACACGGACAAGAATATTGGAATCTGTGAGTATTAATGCAGATAATGCGAGGCAAAATACTTGTAACTTGGTTCAGTGAAACAAATTTACTAGAAGCAATCTATTTCGTTACGACTGGTAGAGACCGAGGATAAGAAAAGAATAGGTCACAAAGTGCACCAGTTTTAGCATTGGCACTCATCAGAAACGCGTGCAAACTGATTTAATGCCTAGATTATCGTCATTGCCGTTGTTCCTGGTCTTAATCAGATATTTCACTGGCAGTCCCTTGGAGAAAAATATTAGCGGTTTTCTGGTGCAAAGAGAGTTATTTTTCTACTACTGCACCATTAACAACAACAATGACAACACAGTGAATAGACCGTACTTACGCATACTGTTGTGTCTTCCGGTCTATCACCAAATCTGGTCGCATGAGACGTGTCACAACAACTCCAGCCAATGGCGAAACAGTACGAGCGTTTATTGGAAGCGACAGAAAAGTGAGTTGAATAATGTAGAAGTATGCTATCTGTATAGGGTTGCGCAAAATTTAGCTTTTCACTGAATGAAAATATGATAGCACCGATGGAGTGAATAGATCAATCAGACTGCAAGATTCTATCCATTCCCTTTGATTTTACCAATCCAGTAATATCGGGAAAATGCCGGCAATTTCCCCTGGCGGCGATTGGTTTCAACTCATTTCCGGATCATTCTGCGAATATTATCAGGGAAAATTAGGTTTTCTTCGACAAATACTACACCAACTTACACGAAAATTGTTTTAATTTATGCAACAGACATCACTGGTGGGATGAGAACCAGTCATTCACGATAGCCAACAACCTGAACCATGGAACTTGGCGTGGCGGACCATATGAGGACGCAATGCGGTAGTCGTGGTAGTGAACCGGACGACAGAAAAAGAACTATTTGGAGTTTGCAGCACGAGATGTAAACAAGGAGAAGTATACAGAAGCTACAAACTGGAGGCCAGCAATGAAATGAGCTAGACGTGATACCCACAATAACCTTGCATAAGTGTGTCTTGTGCTATTCGTGTACGGACATTGGAAAACTTATATGCTGACCCGAGGTGGTCAGCGCGGCCGTCGATTGGCTGTGCTACACTTACACGCTCTCCGTCATATTGTAGGAATTTTCACTCACTACCATGAGTCATCGTTACTCACGGAATGATATTATTTGTTTCCAACGTGCCACGACATGCTTCGATGGTTCAGCGGTTTGTGCGACTCCAGTTTCTCACTATCCAGGCTGGACCAAAAACCGCAGGCGTGCAGGATGGCAAGTTGTCCTTAATTGCACCCCTCTGTCAAAGATGACTGTCCCCCCATTGGTCAGCACCAACGCTCGGTCCCTGTTTCCCAAAATGTCGGATTTAACTAGCGTCCTTCGATAAATAATTTATACGAACACGTATGCAGTCTGTGTTTAAGAATCCTGGTTGAATAAGGATGTAGATGACTCTCTAGTGTCAATAGACGGTTTTCAAGTTTACCGACAGGATCGTGGAACCGGAGGAAAAAAGACCGGAGGGAGTGTTGTCACCCATGTCAACGTTCCCTGGTATGGCAAGTCCCATGTTATTTTTCAGTACTGCTCAGAAGGTATTGAGTGCCTAACTATAGTGCCACCCTAGATTTTCCCGTTTTACACACACAAATTTAACTAACTTGTACATAGCTCCTCGTTGTACACAGTCCGATCGTATGTCACTTTTTGAACGCATTATCCTCTGATCGAATTCTGAGGACTGGAAACAGCAAACACCTGTGGCAAGGTATAATACTTCTCTGTGGAAGGAAGAAAGTACGGTCGAAGCTGGATGTGGATGCTGACGACCTCAATGCCGCATTGCTGCGCCAGTCATCGGACATTCTTCCTGCCTACTCGTCACAAAACGTTTGTAAAGTGGAACCATTCTCATATTGTGATGTGTTACAACTTTTAAATAGTTGCAATTCGTCATTTGCTGCAGGCCCGGATAACTTATATCCAGCCCTCTTCACATTTGTTGCTGCTTCCCTACCTGAGGTAATTACCTTCATTGTCGATGAATCTCTTAGTATTTCTACTATCCTCGACTGTTGGAGGCCGGTCACAACTGTTACAAAAACTGGAATCGTTTGAATGCCACAAGCACATGTTAGCTTGGCTATCCAACTATTTTATTGATAGAGCACAAACCATTAGATTGGGGAAGTTTTCATTTAAACCCTTAGTCAACAACTCCGGAGTTCTTCAAGAAGCTGTGCTATACCCATACTTATTTTCCATTTATAATTGTGATATTCATTGCGTTTCTCAAGCACGTATTTGGAAATATGCAGATGACGCTGTGCTGTGCTTTGCCAAACCATTTCTTTTTACTCCTATCTAAGCTCCTTCACCGACAATCTTAATCAAATTCAGTCATTCCCCTCCTTATCCGGACTAACACTATACCGCCAGTAAATGTGTTGAGTGTTTATATAGTTTTGCTCGCTCCCATATCCGACAGACCCCACAGTGATTGATAACAATCCGTTATCCAGGGTGAACTCTGTCAAATATCTTGGTGTAACCATAGATAGCAATCGTCATTGGTCAACCCACATCCACAACTGCATTGGTGAACTGCGGCGCCTATCATTTCAAATACGAAAATTCTGACAGTTTCGCACATCTCAGTCAGTTATCTCTACCTTTGCTTATCAGTGTGTTTTCTCCATCTTATTCTACTGTTCCCCGGTTATTTTTCATGGCTTACTCAAACAGGATTTCAAAGTGTTACACCGCGGTTTAACTACTGCTAGCCGCGCTTCTTCTATTCGTGCGAATGAGTTAGCTTTAAAGCTTTCAGAGTACCACGTAACTTTCTGTGTGAATTTTTCGAGAGGATTCTCACAGATCCTGACCACCCATTGCAGGCAGAACTGACATGTCGCTCTCATCATTCAACACGCTCCCAATTCCGTCAAATTTCAACTCCAATTAAGACTTAGCGCAACTCACCTTTACCGTATCATGCTCGTCTACTCATAACCAAAGAGCGGACGATAACTGAACTTTGTTTTAACCTTCGAATATAAAATGTCCCCGTGTCTGTAAAAACGTTTCTCCCGGTTGATTATGTGAATTGTTGACTGTTAGCATGTATGAATTTTTTAACGGAAATGTGGGCTCCAGTGCTTGCAAAAGTTACGTACAATACACAATTGACTAGGGCGTTTGCGTTTTACCTNTACCTGAGGGATTGACGGATCCGCTTCTCAGTCGGACCGATGCATTCACAATGCTGACGGGGCCAAACAGGACCGAAGCAGCTGAATAACGCTTTCGATTCTTAGAATTTATCTGCGGTGTATTCGATGAGATTCATCACATAATCGAATTAGGTAGTCCCCTACTGCCTTATGTAAAATGAATGCAATAAAAACTGTGCCGGATTTCAAACATACTCTGATATCGTTGTACAAAAAACACGTTGTAAGACAGAATCCCAACCCAGAAATGACTTGTCATTGAACCGATCGAAGGAAACACACACTTACCTGAATGATCAAAAGTTTCATACTCTTCAGTGGGTTCACATCCTGATTTTCCATAAACTCTCGCATTTCCTTGGATACACGCATCACTAAAATTGAGTAAAGTCAACGATTAGACAAGTTTATTCAAGACAGTTGCATGTATCCGGATGGATTAAAACAAATACATTTAGATACGATGAGTGAAATCATTGGGTAAAGGACACTGGACTTGGGTCATAACGTGCGATCTACTCCTCAAACCAAAAAAGGTTTCCGATTGTCAACGTTCACGCTAACGAAACCGAGATACACCACGACAGTCATGAAAATACCTTGGCGAAATATCCATCGGCTCGACAAATTTAGAAAAGTAGACTTTGATATTCCAGACACTAGGAACTGCTGCCTGTCATATGAAGCATAGAGTCTTGTTTAACATTTATGTCTTAGTATGGAGGTATTATGCAGTCAAACTGGGAGATCGATCATCCTACCGATTTTCAAGACAAGTGACAGGAATTAGTTTGATCAACATCGTCTCTAGAATTCTCGCGGGCATCATACTAAGTCTACCGCACGTGAACGGTGAGAACCAGGCTGGTTTGAGATCCGCTCGATGTTGTATGGACCACTTCATAACCTTCGTCAAACTCTTTTAGTAGACCCAAAATTTCTATCTTCCTCGATCTGAAAGCGGCTTTCGACTCAGTCGACCGCTGTAAACTTTGGCGATGCCTCGCTCTAAATGATGTGCTCGAGAAGTTTATTTCAATATTATCTCTATACCAATAGCCGCAGCCGAGTCCGAGATTACGGCACATTTTCAACCGAGTTCACCACGGAAAGTGGTGTTCGACAGGGTAGCCCTCTATCTCCGTTTCTGTTCAACTTTGCCATATATTTAATTCCTGAAACAGCCCTATCCTCGTGTGAGGGTAGCGGTGTTGTTTTACTCCCGGGTGTCAGACTGTTTGATCTGGAGTATGCAGACGACATTGAGCTACAAAGTGAAGCTTTTCTGGATAGTTTGAGTGCCAGTGTATCCATGTTTGGTATGCGTTTTGTAGCTCCAGAGTTTAAAATGGTACTACAAGACTGGGTTGATACAGCCTTCATTCTCACCCTGACTAGGGAAGTAGTAGAGGAGGTGGACAAGTTTTGCGTTCTGGGAAGCTACATCTCACCTGGCGGACGCATCACAGATGAAGTGTCGGCCCGTATACAAAAAGTTCGGTTGGCATTTGCCAACTTGAGACATCCGTGGCGCCGTCGCGATATCCGGCTGTCTTTAAGGGTCGAGTATATGCTGCAGCAGTTCGGCCAGTGCTGCTCTACAGTGCAGAGGTTTGGTCATTACGGGAACAGGATAAAAAATAGATTATTGGTGTTCGAACACCGCTGTTTACGCAGGATTGCACAAATCCGGTGTTGCAACCGGACAAGTAACGTAGAGATTAGGCGAAGAATTTTGGGTAATCGCGTGCGTCCAATGGAGTAGGCGGTCGACCTCCATATATTACGCTGGTTCGGACATGAGTTACGCATGTCACCAGATAGGTTACCACGACGAGCGATGTTTGTTGAGGCAGATAGCGGTTGAAAAAAGATCAAGTACGGTCAAACTTAGAACTGGCACGAGGGTATGAAAATCCTGACCGAAAGACTGGCTTACATAGGTCCCGTTAGGCTCCCTGGCTGGGGACCCCGAGATAATGGTCACCGATGATTAGAGATACTGAGTGATATGGCTAGGTGTCGCAAACAGTGGCGCTCATGCATCTAGTAATCATTCTTGTAACAACAGGTTATACAAATTCGCTATCTTCCGCTTGAATTTGCTCTCAACATTCCAATGTTCATTCTACTCCTCTATCTAAACGGGTGGCCAACAGACAGCAACTAAAAGCGGCGCAAGAAAGTGCATGGTTAGTGGCTGTAAAAGCTGAAAAACCGAAACTGGAGTTTGAAACGTGGTCCAACCACTCGATTTTAGCAATATATCGGAGACAACAGTGGTCGACATTTTCCAGTTCCTTTTCTTTCGTTCATCTGCAGTGGCCACATTTCACAAGCGTATATGAAGATGAGCCGAATGGTGGCTCTATAACAAACTGGCAGCTTTGCGTGGAGGCTTATTTCACCACGTAGTCACAGGGGTTTCTGAACTTGTAAGAATGCTCTCGCTGTGCGGTCGACACGAAACTTGACTTCTTCTCTGGTTTGACCATTTGACTGGATGACAGAGCCTAGGTACTTGAAGTAGCTTATCTGATCAAGTACTTTACCGTTGACGTTGATGGGTCGTGGTAGACTTTGTGAAGAACGCCGTTTTTGAGGTCAAGAATCGGCTGTAGACTGTCAGTCACCTCCAAAAATGACAATGTCGTTCACTAATTCGATGTCAGATATTTAGGTTTCACGACTGATTTTAATAGCACGACGCATTATCCAGGATATGAAGCAGTTAAATAGGATTGGGAAATCTTTCATGCCAGTGCGGACGGGCTTGCTCGCGTGGTACGGTAATATTAGCTTTTTTTACTGTAAGTACCTCTCAGGTATCCCATCGGTAAGTAATGTACCCCGAAGAGACTGTCTATTGACTTAGTCAAAAGCCGCTGGAAAATCAATGAAGAAAGCTGAGGTTCGTCGTTGGCATTTATGGCGATTTTCGAGGATTCGCCGTAGCGTTGACACCAGGTCCATGCACTCCTTCCTTTGGCAAAAAATCAACTGGTCCGGAAGTACTTTTGTGTTACTTCAACATCCCAGACGTGGCGGAATAGTGTCATCAATGGGTTAAGTAGAGTTGGCAAACGTAACTTGTACATTTCAGGTGGGATTCCGTCCTCTATGGAGGACTTCCTGTTTTCCATAGCCTTCATGGCTATGAAAAACACGATATCCCATCCGTTAGGTAAGTCCAGATCGATTTCATATTGCTGTCGCGGTCGACGGTACTATACAGCTACGGTGAGAGGAATGGCGGTTGAGCAGACGGCGGAAGTATTCAACACATCTTCGGAGTTTTTGTCCATTACCCGATATGAGGTGAACGAGATTGTCACGTAGTGAAGACAGTGAAGATTGTCTTATTTGATGCAATGCGCACGAGCAGGAAAAGCCACCCAAAGTCTCCAACAGCTGTTGCTATTTCCATTGTAACTGAAAAATACTAACATCATTCTTTACTTCCACATTCATCAAGCAGCACCGATGAAGCCAATTATACAAACAAACAATGCTAGCCGACCGCAGGTTGGTCGGCAGAAACAAAACCTCATACCAAGATCGATTTCTGTACCGAAAAATTCCAATGCACGAAGTCATCTGAACAAATTCTCCGAAATGGAGGTTCTTTGGAAAACCAATCGGTGCGATCTTGTTGCTGTTATTGAAACATGGCTGACCATCAATATTTTCGACTCGGAATTGGGACTTTCTGCTCGGACACGATCGAGTGGGAATACGAGGCGATGGCGTGCTACTTTACCATAAAACAACCTAAAGTGAACAGCTTGATATTCCCCATGCGGTCCCCAATTCGTTATGATGTTCTCTAAGACTCTCCAAAAAACAGTACGTATCTAAACGGTGTCCAGTACCGACCTCCCGCCTTTGCAGACTCAGCTAAAGAGACTTTATTGCAAACCACGAGGAATGGATTATAATTAAAGTTCACTCATATCCTCATAATGGGCGATTTTAACTGTCTCAGTTATATTAGAACGAAGACTTCCCGCAAGCCATTCGAGAGACAGTCATCACAGTTCATTGAATTTCACTCATTGTATAACCACGTAACAGAACTCGCCATATTTGGAGCAGGTCACGTACCATCAACACTAAAATCCATCGATATCACGTCTCCATTAGGATGTGATCATGTCACATTAAATTTTGATTATATCAACTACGCAACAGAGCAATACTCGTGCAATCATAGACTAAAAAAAGTTGCAAAACCTGGCAGCACTGAGGCAATGGGTCCTCCCAGAAGACAACCACGATCCTTTGGTGGAATGGAAAGGCTTCCCCGAATACCTCACCAAAATAATAACGACTGCGGCAAGTATCAAA